GCTCTCCTTCCCTTACTCTTCCGTTCCTCTCACTACTACTACTACCACCACCACTACTACTACTACTACTACTACTACTACTACTACTACTACTACTACTACTGCTACTACTACTGCTACTACTACTACTACTACTACCTTTTCCTGCCTATATATACCCGTCCTGCTCTACCTCTCACACACAGACTACAATCACCTCTCCTTCTACACCTACACCCACACTAGACTACAAAACTAACTGCCAACTCGCCACTGCTGCCCACTCTGCGATGGTAATCTCTCAAGCTACCAATCAGACTACTCATATGTCCTTAACCTAATCTTGTCCACTAACAATCTTCCCTCTTTAATTATCCCTCTTCCTGCTTCTCTTCTAAGCCCCCTACAACCTCTACCTCCTCCCTCTCTCCCACCCCCCCACTTCCTGCACCCACCAGCTCTCCTCCCCCCCTACCCCTCTTCACTACTTCCACCCCTCCCACCATCACCCTACTGCTGCTGCTACGACCACCCCTCCCCCGACCTCCTTACCCACTTCCTCATCCCCAACCAAAGCTTCCGCTTCCTTACCCAGTACCATAGCTTCCACTTCCTCATCCCCTACCAAAGCTTCCACTTCCTCTGCATCTACCTTCGCCCACTCCTCCACCACAACCAAAACTTCATCCAGGTCCAACTCCACCTCCTCCAGACAAAATCCACTCAAACCCAAACCTGCTCCAACTTCTGACAGACATACAAAAGAAACCACATATTAAAACAGGATCAATCTCTTCCTCCCCTCAGGAACACGGGTCCGTAACACCTACAAAACTCAATCCACTGGATGGCAAGCCTCTATCACGAGTTTTAAATCCAAACTCCTCCGACATTAACTTGCATGACGTAACCATTAAATCATGTTTAAAGTGATTTCAGTTCAAACGTACGTTCTTACTTTACTATTAGGACACCTACTGGCCGATGTTCCTTGAAGCAGAGAAGAAACCAGATATTGTTTTGCTAAACAGTACCTGCATCAAGCCCTCAAGCGATCGCCTTTCTGAGATTACTGCTACTACAGTCCCCTATGATCCCCCACGATGGGGTTGCCATCCTTTGTTCAAATCCAACATTAAACACGAATCTCTCCTCAATCCTGTTTATTCACCAACACTGTCTTTGCAGTCAGAATAGCACCCACTTGGCCCCTTTATCTTGTTTTACACCACCTATGCTCGCCGCAAACACTATTCCAACCATACTCGACCTTTCCTTAGTCTTCTTAGGTGGGCCGGCTGGTCTGGTAGGGGCCCGGTGTGTCTGGTGGCGAAAGCTCCCGTTCACTCCGCGGAGGGCGCGGGTTCGATTCCGGGGGTGGAATTGCGACACGTTTCCTTGACACTCCTATTGTCCTGTTCCACCTAGCAGCAAATAGGTAATGGGTGTTAGTCGTGACTTGGTGTGGTGCTCTGGGGGACAAAGATTAAGGACCCAATGGATAATAAGTTTGATTGCACGTCCTCGATGTCGCACTGACTTTCGTGGGTTTTCCTGGGAGGCTTACCCCCCCTTTTTTTCCCGGGGTTAAAAATCGAACGAAATCTTATCGTATCTTATCTTTCTAACTACACCAACACACCAAATACATACCTTACTAGCTGACATGATGCCAAACACACCGCCTTTCATCACACCGTAACAACCAACTTGGTCACGCCAATTATCAACTTCACTAACCATAAACACCTAAATCATCTCGGGCCCAGGAGCTTATATACCTTCTTCATCAAGGGCCACGGCAGACCAGACATCATTCTGCCAAAACGAGCCAGTTCTCTATTTAACACTAAAGAGATTCCACCTGCCCTATTACAGGCTCTGATTCACCATCCCAGTCATCTTGGACATCTCCTTCCAAACCCTATCCTCATTCCAACCACACCTTTCCTTCTCCACAAGAAACGCTGACTGGGATGCTTCTCAAACAACACAGTGGAATTAGTAGCGCTCACCTGACGGATCTATAACAACAAACCTATCTCTTGACATCGATACTCAACTTGATCTCATCCAGGACACGTTAGCATCAATGCAGCCCAACAACCATTACCAAAGAAAAACTAGCACCACTCGTTAATTCCTTCAAACCGTCACTCAGAACAAGAAGGGACTAATTATCTGGCTACAAACGCTTCTCTCTACAAACACACACAGATTTAATAAGTCGATTAGATCTTACTTACCTTAGACAACAACATTCTACAGCAGTCTAGGCAAGACCACAACAATCAGGGTCACAACTCATTGCAACAGCTGACAAAGACAGGCGCTATTAATAACACTAAAAGCCTTCTGGTAACTTGTAAGTCAAAAAAATATAGTAGGCACTACTTCCCACCAACGCAAATTCAACAACACATCACCCATCAACAACACACACATTCAGACCCGCAGGCTGCTACCAACTTCTTCGCAAACACATCTGGGAGAACATGTCTTCCACACTCACCGACCTCACCTCCTAAGTAATTCAGTAAACATGTCAGAACATAGAAACATTGGACCGCACTGCACACACACAAGATACAACCCAGATAGCCACATTCATCTAGACTCTTCTTACCTCCTCCAAGAACTCGGACACTCTTTCACCAACAAGTCATTAAAAACTCTCTCAGACACTTCCTCCCAAGGCTCCTGGCGCCTCTGGCCTAAACCAATTATCCTAAAACACCTTCCTGACTCTTCATTACTGCCTACACAACCTCCTCTATGCTCCTCCCTTGGCTTCTGGATTCTAGTTCCCTTCCCTCTGTCAAAGCTGCACTGCTATCCTCCTTCTAAAAACCAAAAAAGACCAACTCTGATCCAAGAACAATTATCGCCCTATCAGCCTCCTCGAAAGCTTTAGAGGTAAACTCTTTTGAAATACTCATCAACCATCGCCTTCGCCAGATACCTGGAACCACTAACCTCTCTATTTTGATGGTCAGTTTGGGCTTCGAACACACAGATCCACACCAAGATGCCATAACATCATTCTTCAATACATCCACATATAAACACACGAACAAAGAAACAGGATGCCCTGGTTGCAAAGACGTTGAAAAAAGCTTTTGACACTGTCTGGCACGAAGGGCTCAAGTACAAACTTGCACTAAGTTAACCTGCCTCTCGTACTCGTATACTCCTCTGGCAACTTCCTAGCGGCCATACGCATGAGAATCAAATTTCCTAGGCTGTTACTCTGCACTTTACTTCATACACTAATGTGGAGTACCCAGGGAATCTGTTCCTCTCCCCTACCCTCTAATTTTATACATAAGAGACTTAAGAAATCTAATGACACGAGTGCAAATAAACTTTACCCCCGGCCGGGATATGAACCCGCGGTGTCATAGAGTCTTCACATAACTCCAAGCCCGTCGCGTTAGCCACTAGTCCAGCTAGCCACCGATAAGTTATTCCAACTAGGAATATTCTAGACACATCCATAGGAAAGTTTAGAGTTTTGCAGACTCTGATGACCGCGGGTTCATCCCGGCGGAGGGTGGTTGATATGGTTATTATACACGACGACTTCCTAACCCTGTATACCACTTATCTCATCACACTAGCCTGATGAGACGAAATTACACAACTTATCACTCATGCCAAGATAGATACACTCACACACAAAAACCAAAATGAGGGTCGACAGGAATAGCCATCTGGGAACGCGAAAAATGGAGGATCATATCAATGCAGTAATCCGCATTACATATTTTAACTACAGAAAACGTGATCCTCCATTACTGTCGCGAGCTCTGAACAGCTGACACCTCCGCACTTACATCCCTATGGACACAATCTGTTTTTTTTTTGCTACTTGTCCTTGGCGTTAATCTTGACTACCTTTCTACGCTTTTCACGGACACATTCTCTCAAGGACATGCAATAGTAGTAAGGGCCCTTGTGGGCCTCTACAAGCTGAAACATGCCTCTCAACGCACCAAACTACAACTCTACAAATCCCTTATTACGTTCCTCTGATAACTTACTCGACTCTCGCCTCTCTCTTGCAAGCCAAATACAAACGTGAACTTAATCTGCAGGTGTCCAGAACAAGGCTGCTGCGCTGGGGTGTGCTTGATGTTCAGATGGGAGGACTTCGCCACATGCGAGTATCTACCATACCCGTTAGACATCCCTGCGCTGTAATCTGTACTGGAAGACGCTCAGTGACAGACAGATTGACAAACTCGTGTCACGACATGATACTGACCTCTCTCCTTGACGAAGGCATTCGCAGACCCACACACCAACACAACCTTTTTTACTCCTTGCATGATCCTGCTCCTATACCCTATGTAAAATAACCATGGATTCTCCGAGAGGTACCTTCTATGACAGGTTCCCAGTCTCGGATCACGTTTCGCCTTACCTTTGGGTTGAAGACATGCTCAGTTCTATCACCTCCTCTTAGCTCTAAAACGTCGCATGTCCCTTCCTTCGCGCGACACCCCAACGGAGTCAACGAAGAGTCTTGTTTTCTCTTCTCAATATAGTTCGTGTCCGCACTCTCGATCTGCCTCGCTGCTGGGTTATGCCCTGGGCTCTATTTCTACGACTAAGAAACACTCCTTCCAGCACTGTTTCTTCGTCTGTCCCGTCTTCCGCTATCCCATTTGGGATCTTACCTGAACTTTCGTTCGTTCGTTCTTTACCTTCTCGTGTGTGACTTTTGTAATGGTCAAGTTACGGACGAACCGTCGTCGTAAGTCTCTCTTCTATGTGCGAGGTTCTCTTCCATTTTCTAATACATTTTTAGCACCCACATTTCAACAACATTATACACCTATTAGTGCACTTTAGCGTCGGAAAATTAAAATATTTTCCACAACATTTATATACTAAAATTCTAAACTATTCTCGATATCGATCTTAAATTATAATACAAACTAGACAAGCAAATCAAAGCAGACAAATAATAAAGATGTCTCGCAATAGTTTACCATCATTTACTATAAATAAGCCAGTAAATAAGTTAAATTTTTATTTAGGTGTCACACATATACATATTTCTTTGACAATGATCATTGGGAGTTCATAGATACATTATGAGTCATATAACACTACATTATGTAGATTTAACCTACAGATAAGAACATTTTATTCCCTTTCTTTCACAAATGATCCCATAAATTTACATGTAAATAGTTTCACAAGACGATGAAGTATTCTCCAGGCATACTCCAGTAGAGAAGAATAAGAAGAATGAGTAAGACTACGAGCGTCTTGGCGTAGAACCTGCAACGTCTGGTGGAGTTCTTTAAGCCTCCTCGGTACTTCTGAGACACTCGTGACGAACTCCCCTCAAGATCTGTGGAAAGTGTGAAGACAACAGTTATTAAACTGTATACACGCGCTACCCGCACACACTCTAATGATTATCACAGTGTTCGTTCTGATAGCTTTTGTATGCATCTCTTACCTATTTTATGGGAGGTAGTCAAAAGACACTTTGCTTATGGTTCCCCATACCTGGCTTCTGGACGCCAGTTCAAAATATTAAAGGAACGTAAATGAGTTCAGGGTGCCCCATTACCATACCAGTTTAATTGTAAAAAAACTGATTATCTGTAATCCTAAATGCTCTCAAATATAAGCTATAAATTGTGGCATGCTTGTGCAGAAGCAAGACACAGGTATGGGTTAGGAGGACAGTGGATGTCAGAGTGCACATGTGTGGTGTCCATCTCACATTGGTTTCAGCTGATGATAGAAATGATAAATTGGCTAGCTGTAGTGCTTTCAAAGGGGAGTAGATTACAATCTTGCTTGTAAGGTAGTAGTTTGAGAACAGTATACGAAAGAACTTCAACTGAATTTTATGGACTTAAGCTCAGGGAGATTGACCCATAAGTCCCATTATCATTCATCTATCTGCAGGGAGCCACTTGTTCTTGGTGAATCCAACGAAATAAGCAAGACTCTGGGATGTCACTACTGCCGGCTCCGGCTTGGGTTACAAGTTTCTTTGGCATGTTACAATCTCCACCACCAGATTAGACCAAACGAATGTAAACTTTGCAGATGGGTCTATTGTCACCTTGCGGTCATTATGTACTGGTGGCAAGGTGTGATAAAAAATTAATGATAATTTAGAACAAACTCACTCAGTAGTGTTCAAGAAATGGCTTAAGTTTATTTTCATCCACAGTGGTATATTGCAGGACCATTTGGAGAAATACCTGACTTTGCTAGCTGTAAATAAAGCATTACCACATATGTGCATGTGTGTGTGTGTTGTGGGTGTGTGTGTGTGTGTGGTGTGTGGCTGTGTGTGTGTGGTGGTGTGTGTGTTTGGTTTGTGTGTGTGTACCTCACCTAGTTGGTCTCACTATTGAGGTTGCGGGTTGGTTTCGAGTCCTGAGCTCCTGGCCCCGCCTCTTCACTGATCGCTACTAGGTCACTCTCCCTGAGCCGGAGCTTTATCAACTCTGCTTAAAGCTATGTATGGATCCTGCCTCTCCACTACATCGCTTCCCAAAACGATTCCACTTACTGACTACTCTGTGGCTGAAGAAATAATTCCTTACATCCCTGTGATTCATCGGTGTCTTCAGCTTCCAACTGTGTCCCTTGGTACTGTGTCCAATCTCTGGAACATCCTGTCTGGTCACCTTGTCAATTCTCTCAGTATTTTGTATGTCGTTTCATGTCCCCCCTATTCTCTACTGTCCTCCAGTGTCGTCAGGTTTGGATTTCCCTGAACTCTCCTCGTAGAGACATACCTCTTAGCCTCTGGACTAGTCTGTTGGCAAAACCTTTGCACTTTCTCTAGTTTCTTCAGTGCTGGGCTAGGTGTGGGTTTCCAAAACTGGTGCCGCATACTCCAATATGGGCCTAACATACACGGTGTACAGGGTCCTGAATGATTCTTATTGTGTCGGAATGCTGTTCCTGAGGTTTGTAGGCGCCCTTATGCTGCAGCAGTTATTTGGTGATGTGCGCTTCAGGAGATGTGCCTGGTGTTATACTCCCCCAAGATCTTTTTCCTTGAAGTGAGGTTTGTGTCTCTGACCCCTCTCGACTGGACTCACGTTGCGGCCTTCTTTGCCTTCCCAATCTTCCTGGACTTGTAGACACTTGGTGGATTGAACTCAGGAGCCAATTGCAGGACCAGGTCGATTGCAGCCTGTCCAGATCCCTTTGTAGTTCTGCCTGGTTTCGATCGAGTGATTCTTTATCATTCAACTTCAGCGTCAGTCTGCAAAAACTGGGACACCTCAGAGTCTATTGACTCAGAATCGTATGCACGATTGCAAGATTAAACATAACCCCCGGCCTGGGATTGAACCGCGGTCATAGAGTCTCAAAAAATCCAGCCGTCCGTTTAGCCCAATTAGACCAGCTTGCCACATTAAGAATCATCCAACTAGGTATATTTCTACACCATAGGAAAGTTAACTTCCTATGGTGTAGAATTATTACTAGTTGGATGAGTTTTGTGTTAGCTTGGTCTAGGTGGTAAACGCGACGGGCTGGAGTTTTGAGGACTCTATGACGCGGGTTAAATCCCGGCCGGGGGTATGGTGTTTATTTGCATCGGTTTTCGTCAATACGCGATTTCTTGAAGTCATGTTGACGGCAGTGGAAGGGACTTGAGTAGAGTTTGTCCACGGCCACGCTGATGGAGATTCGTCTGTAAAAACTTGCATTTGTGGTCACAGAGGTGCCTGTGCTAACTTTCCTATGGTGTAGAAATATATCCTGTGGATGGTCTTATTGTGGCTAGCTTGTCTAAGTGGCTAGACGCGAACGGGCTGGAGTTTTGAGAACTCTAGGAGCGCGGGTTCATTCCGGCCGGGGTATGGGTTTTTTTCAGAGTCTATTCCTTCCGTCATGTCGTTCACAAAGACCGAAACAGCTCACTGGTCCTAGGACTGACCCCTGTGGGACCCCGCTGGTCAACAGGTGCCAGTCTGACCCACCTCGCCTCCGTACCATGACTGCGCTGCTGTCTTCCTGCAAGTATCCCTGATCCATTGTAGTGCCTTCCTGTGATCCCTGCTGATCATCCAGTTTTTGCACCAATCTCTTGTGTGGAAGACTGTGTCCAACGCCTTCTTGCAGTCCAAGAAAATGCAATCAACCCCACCCCTCTCTTCTTGTTTCTGCTGTCGCACATGTCTTCCTTTTGCAGTGACACCCGATTTCTGCATGACAGTGTCTTCCATTGCAGGGGGGTGGGGGGGGGGGGGGGGGGAAAAAACAAAACTTTTGTTGCCAAGGCTCCGGGCGGACCATCAACCAAATCTTTCAGTGGGCTGCGGAAACAATATGAAGTTCATCGATGAAGAAATTTCAATTACTCAGATATGGTAAAACATTGAGGAAATTAAATCCTTCATCAGAGTACAAATCAAGTTCTGGCCACAAAATAGAGCGAACACCATCGTCCAGAACTGTGGAGAGTGATTATGTCGGAGATCTCACCTTCAGGACCATAAATTGTATCAATGCATCTGCTAGAAAAAAGGACAGGTAATGGCTAATGAGAACCTTCAAAAACAGGGAGGCCACGCCGATGATGACACTCTTCAGGTCACTTGTTTATTAGGCTGGAATATTGCTGCACTCTATCAGCACCTTTCAAGGCAGGTGAAATTGCCGACCTAGAAAATGTACAGAGAACTTTCACGGCGCGCATAAGGGATAATTAAAACACCTCAATTACTGGGAGCGCTTGGGTTCTAAAATGTTATTGCTATTTCCTGGAACGCAGGAGGAGAGATACCATGATTATATACACCTGGAAGAATCTAAGAGGGACTAGTACGAATTGCACACGAAAATCAACTCACTACGAAAGCAAAAGACTTGGCAGACTCGTGCACATCCCCCCAATGGAGAAAGCAGGGTGGTCACTAGCACGTTAAGTGGACCATACAACATAAGTGTCAGGGGCCCGAGACTGTTCAACGCCCTCCCAGCACTGCATTAAGGGGGATTACAACAGGAGCCCCTGGCAGTCTATCAAGCTGGGCCATTGGACAAGCACCTAAAGTCAGTTCCTGATCAGCCAGCTGTGGCTCGTACGTTGGTTTGCGTGCAGCCAGCAGGCAACAGCCTGGTTGATCAGGGGCTGATCCACCAAGGAGGCCTGTCACAGACCGGGCCGCGGGGCGTAGACCCCGAAAACTCTCTTCCAGGGTAAACTCAAGGTATGTCAGTAGACTCCAGTAGGTTTGTGACACAGGATTTCCCGTCCCGGGAAACCATGTTGGCTGCTGTTGTGAGATCATTACTTCGTATGTGTTCCACCACTCTTCTATGATATTCTTCTCCATGATTTTGCATATAAACATGTAGTGACACTGGTTCTATGTTTAATGCTTCATGTCTGTCTCCTTTTTTAAAGAATCTGTGGAGACTACATTTGCTTGTCTTCGCCATGCCCTCAGGCAATCTCCTGTTTCGATAGATGTATTGTATATTGTTGTTAGGGGTACTCCATAGCGCCCTGCTCCGCTTTGCTCTTCAATACCATGGGGAGATGTTATCTGGCCCCATTGCTTTGAGGTTCTAGCTCTCACTCGCGAAGCCTCTTCATTCTGTCCTCGGTTGTTGTGTTGTGTGTGTGTGTGTGTGTGTGTGTGTGTGTGTGTGTGCGTGTGTGTGTGTTGTGTGTGTGTGTGCATTCACCTAGGGAGATTGCAGGGGTCGAGTCCAAGCTCTGGTGTGTGTGTGTGTGTTTGATGTGTGCGTGTGTATGTGTCTGAGTGTGTGTGTGTGTGTGTGTGTATGAGTTGATGTGTGCGTGTGTGTGTATGTCTGACGTTTGTTGTAGTGTGTGAGGTGTGTGTGGTGTGTTTATAAGTTGTGTCGTGTGGTGTGTATGATTGTTATTGTGTGTGTGTGTGTGTGTGTGTGGTGTGAGATACGCAACAATCTATATTTTGCACCAATAACCTCAATACTAGTTGTGACCGGGTTTTGAGAAGTGTGAATTGCTCATTACATATAATTTGTTCATGATTGTAGACATGTATGTAATCGTAAGTAAACCATTCTTACAGTATTCATTACCTTTTGTAACTTGTGAGTTCATTACTTGTACCTAGTTCAGCCATCAAAACTTTTGGGGCCAAGTCCCTGGACCCATTACGTACTTCTTTAATTCTGTAAATTACCTTTGTAACTTATCATGACTTGTGATAGACCTACTGGAGGTTCATTACTTTGTAAGATTTGTGAGTTTTTTTTTTCATTACCTTTGTAAATTGTGAATTCATTACCTCTGTAACTTGGCTCAGCTATCAAAACTTTGGAGTCCCGTCCTGGACCAATTATGTACCTTCTGTAATCTTTTGACTACCGCCACAGGATGGATAGGGGGTGCTTTAATATAAACATATTAAAACTAACTAAAGTACATACCCTATCTCTGGGTAGTGATAAATATTAGAGAGACTAAAATGGATCAGGGACTCAGCCACTCAGGCTCGGGAGTGTAGATAGATTGCCACCTCACGAGACGGAGAGACATGCCGTTCCAGGAGTGGTTGATTTTGTCTCTAAGAGGTTGTGTTGGACTTTCTTGTGGTTTTTGTCCAGTTCGGCATCGTCTGCGGCCCTCCCCCTGACCGTCGCAGCTTTCAGGTTAAAATCTATATAAATATCATTTTTACAAAGTACAAGGTATCAGCCTAGCTAACAATGACATACACATATAGAAACCCCCTTGTTTCCCTGGATTTTCCCTGGAGAGAGTTTCGGGGGTCAATCCCCCCCGGGGCCCCGGTCTGTACCAGGCCCTCCTGGGGGAAATCAGCGCCTGATAAACCCGGCTGTTGCGGGCTGCACGCAAACCAATACGAGCCACAGCCGGGATAGGAACTGATTTTAGGTGCTTGCCCAGTGCCAGCTTAAGATGCCAGGGGTCTGTTGTAATCCCCTTATGTGTGCTGGGGGGGCAGTTGAACAGTCCGGGCCCCTGACACTTTTGTAGGTTTTTAAAACGTGCTTGACCCCCTGCTTTTCATTGGGGGAGGGTGCATCTCTCCCAAAGTTTTTTGTTTTCGTGTGAGTGATTTTCGTGGCAAGTTCGGTACTAGTCCCTCTGGGATTTTCCAGGTGTATATAATATGTATCTCCCCCTCCTGCTTTTCCGGGGGAATACGGTTTAAAAAAACCTCAAGCGTCCAGTATTGGGGGGTTTTTATCTCCGTTTTGCGCGCCGGAAAGTTTCTTCCATTTTCTATTTCGGCAATTTCACCTCCCTTAAAAGGGTGCTGTTAAGTGCAGCAATATTCCGCTAGTAGAACAATCCCGAAGAGTGTCATCATGGGCTTGGCCTCCCTAGTTTTGAAGGTTCCTATTATCCCCCTGTTTTTCTAGCAGATGCGATTGATACAATGTTTTGTCCTTGAGGTGAGCCCCTCGACATAATCACTCCCAGGTCTTTGACGTTTTTTCGCTCTATTTTTGGGCCCAGGATTTTTTTTGTCTCGATGAAGATTTAATTTCCTCATGTTTCCCAATCGAGTAATTTAAAATTTCCCCATGTTGAATTCATTTTTTTTCCCCCAGCCCATGAGAGATTGGTTTGATGTCCGCCTGGGCTTGCGTGTCTAAATGGAAGCCCGCTGAGTTCGGGTGTCATCTGCAAAGGAAGACACGGGCTGTGGCTGCATCCTTTTATGCGGATAGGGGATGGGGAAACAAGATGGGAGCAGTTGCAGAACATTTCGGGCAAATTAGGTAAAATTTTTTCCCCGGATGCGACCCAACCCGTCGGCTAACACCCCGGTCCCTTTATGATGATGAACTGGAAGCAGGTGTCTTATGGTAAAAGTCCCAAATTTTTCCATCCTGGGTAAAAATCCCAGACCCCCAGGTTGGGGATCCAAGCGGCTAGGATCGAGCTCGGGGAACCTTCCCGGAATAAGTTTAGAGAAAAAGAGATAAGTTTATTTAGGAAATCGTAAATTTTTTAAGCTAGCATAATTTTCAAATTGTTGTCGGCATAAAATGGACACCTTGGGAATTTCCTTTAAAATTTTTGGCCCTTTACCTAATGTAAATAGGTACCTGGGTGTTAGCCGACTGTGCATCCTAGAGAAGACAAAACATCATTGAAAAATTAAAGAATAATGTGACGTTTATTGGGTCCCTTGGCCAGTTTCTTCGCCTTTATTGTCAGCAGTGGGCCCTCAGTCTACCTGCATTTTATGTTTCATTAATGGGAATTACTGTTGGAGCAACCTTGAAATGTCTATCTTAAAAAACGGGTTTATAGGCTTGTAGCTACTAGTAATTTTTTTTACGGATATCGACGTGAAAAAAAAAATATGAAGAATTAAGACATTTGTTGAGGTACGTTTAGCCCACCAGTGGGGAAACAGTCTTCAACAAAAAGTGTTAATTTCACTTATTATCGGAAATTAATCAATTTTCTTTTGACGTATCGACGTGTGCTATTGGGAAAAAATTCCCTTTAAAGATGTACCTTGATGCTAGTGTAAGGGTTTTGATCCAATAATTGGAACTACCTTCCCTTTTAACTAAACCAAATTACCTCCATCTTCAATCAATCAATCAAGTTTATTCTCCTAAAAGATTACAATGCTGGGTTTACATATTATAGGATATTGGTTATAATGTGTGGTTTATATATTATAAAATACCAATTACAGAGAGGGTCACTTCCCAGAAGATATACGACCCCGACGTGTTTATCGTTTCCCCTGTGAATATAAGACGGAGGAGGATAATATATTGAATGTAACTCAATTCATATTGATAATGGAGCGTCTACAGGAGCATGTATATTTAAAACCGGCCATTAAATGTGTTTATTCTACATATATAACTGAACATTATAAATTGTATATCTTAAATGTTTCTCACAATTATATCACATAAATGTTAAACCTAAAACCCAATCTAACTTTATTATTTTTTAAATACACTACCTAACAGAATCACTACCTAACTGAATACAACCATATGACCTGTCTTTGTAATACTCACTTGTGCTTTATAGTTATCTGTTTACATTAATGTTTTATCACTGATTTCATCATTGCTTAGTAGCAGCGCTGTATAGTCCTTGTGGCTTAGCGCTTCTTTTTGATTATAATAATAATAATAATCATTGCTTAGTTAATCTTAAGTTAATTTTAAGCCAGCCCGTAATGCTATGCATAGTATAAGTGGCTTTGGCATACTGCTCTTATCTGTATTTTTTTTTGTACCTCTGTATGTGTGCACAAATTGGAAATAAATAAATAAATAAATAAATAAATAAATATATACCGATGTAAATATGAAACATGTGATTATGTTGTATCCAGAGAAGCAATAACCTGTTACAATAGACAGTGTAATTAATCATAGTTTACTGACGTTGCTAATACTGCAAAATATTAAGCAATGGTCAAAAATATAAATATCTCTGCTTCATTTGAATAGTGCATTCATTTAACATATTGAGATAATTTATAATGGCTTTTGTTTACACTGTTGTTATTCGATAAAGACTAAGAGCTTTTGCTACTTCTATTACATTGTATATCAATAACAGTGATTTCCATGTTTCGTGTGCTAATTCTCCCTTCTGACGTTTGTGTGGCTACAAGCATCAGTATACATTTAATCATTCTCACAGGTTTAGCACATATCAGTAAGTTCTATCTCACCGAACTCGATGAAAGAGTATGGTCTAGTGGGCTCTTTGACGCGATCACCGTACTGAGCAGAGAACTCCTGGGCCACTTGCTGGAGGTAGGTGAAGGCTCGCTCCTGGCTCACATGCGCGTCGCAGATGGCTATATAGATCACGTCCAGCTCTATCAGGTAGCTGTAATAAGAGAACACATGTTAAAATTTTAAGATATAAATGCAAATCAGAGAGCGAGAATGCTTACAAAAAAACAGAGAGCAGCAACCAGGTGCCAAAACTAATAAGTAAATACTTTTTCCAGTTTAGGATATCGGATGAAACCTTTCAGCAGGTCATCGTACAATAAAAACCTGTTTTGTAGGATATTTTCCTGAAAAATACTGATAAAATTAGAGTTCGTGAGGCAATGTCATAAAGAACATTTAGATGCTACATGGACTGTGATTTTCGTTGACTTATTTTCTCGCCATGTCCATTTTAACCTTCCTCCACGGCGGAGCAGCAAGTAACGCTGTCCGCGAAATATTCCATCCAATCATTTTTTTTTGGGGGGGGCGCGACTCAGCAGCAAGGGACATTAAGATGCAACGTACCCATTGTAAGAGTAACCTGGAGAGTTTACCTGGAGAGAGTTTCGGGAGTCAATGCCCCCGCGGCCCGGTCTGTGACCAGGCCTCCTGGTGGATCAGCGCCTGATCAACCAGGCTGTTGCTGCTGGCTGCACTCAAACCAACGTACGAGCCACAGCCCGGCTGATCAGGAACTGACTTTAGGTGCTTGTCCAGTGCCAGCTTGAAGACTGCCAGGGGTCTGTTGGTAATCCCCCTTATGTGTGCTGGGAGGCAGTTGAACAGTCTCGGGCCCCTGACACTTATTGTATGGTCTCTTAACGTGCTAGTGACACCCCTGTTTTTCATTGGGGGGATGGTGCATCGTCTGCCAAGTCTTTTGCTTTCGTAGTGAGTGATTTTCGTGTGCAAGTTCGGTACTAGTCCCTCTAGGATTTTCCCGGTGTATATAATCATGTATCTCTCCCTCCTGCGTTCCAGGGAATACAGGTTTAGAAACCTCAAGCGCTCCCAGTAATTGAGGTGTTTTATCTCCGTTATGCGCGCCGTGAAAGTTCTCTGTACATTTTCTAGGTCGGCAATTTCACCTGCCTTGAAAGGTGCTGTTAGAGTGCAGCAATATTCCAGCCTAGATAGAACAAGTGACCTGAAGAGTGTCATCATGGGCTTGGCCTCCCTAGTTTTGAAGGTTTCCCTCATTATCCATCCTGTCATTTTTCTAGCAGATGCGATTGATACAATGTTATGGTCCTTGAAGGTGAGATCCTCCGACATAATCACTCCAGGTCTTTGACGTTGGTGTTTCGCTTATTTTGTGGCCAGAATTTGTTTTGTACTCTGATGAAGATTTAATTTTCCTCATGTTTACCATATCTGAGTAATTGAAATTTCTCATCGTTGAACTTCATATTGTTTTCTGCAGCCACTGAAAGATTTGGTTGATGTCCACCTGGAGCCTTGCAGTGTCTGCAATGGAAGACACTGTCATGCAGATTCGGGTGTCATCTGCAAAGGAAGACACGGTGCTGTGGCTGACATCCTTGTCTATGTCGGATATGAGGATGAGAACAAGATGGGAGCTAGTACTGTGCCTTGTGGAACAGAGCTTTTCACCGTAGCTGCCTCGGACTTTACTCTGTTGACGACTACTCTCTGTGTTCTGTTAGTGAGGAAATTATAGATCCATCGACCGACTTTTCCTGTTTTTCCCTTTAGCGCGCATTTTGTGCGCTATTTACGCCATGGTCACACTTGTCGAAGGCTTTTGCAAAGTCTGTATATATTACATCTGCATTCTTTTTTGTCTTCTAGTGCATTTAGGACCTTGTCGTAGTGATCCAGTAGTTGAGACAGACAGGAGCGACCCGTTCTAAACCCATGTTGCCCTGGGTTGTGTAAAATGATGGGTTTCTAGATGGGTGGTGATCTTGCTTCTTAGGACCTTTCAAAGATTTTTATGATATGGGATGTTAGTGCTATTGGTCTGTAGTTCTTTGCTGTTGCTTTACTGCCCCCTTTGTGGAGTGGGGCTATGTCTGTTGTTTTTAGTAACTGAGGGACGACCCCCGTGTCCATGCTCCCTCTCCATAGGATGGAAAAGGCTCGTGATAGGGGCTTCTTGCAGTTCTTGATGAACACAGAGTTCCATGAGTCTGGCCCTGGGGCAGAGTGCATGGGCATGTCATTTATCGCCTGTTCGAAGTCATTTGGCGTCAGGATAACATCGGATAGGCTTGTGTTAATCAAATTTTGTGGCTCTCTCATAAAAAATTCATTTTTGATCTTCGACTCTCAGTCTCGTTAGCGGCTTGCTAAAAACTGAGTCATATTGGGACTTGAGTAGCTCACTCATTTCCTTGTTGTCATCTGTGTAGGACCCATCTTGTTTAAGTAGGGGCCCAATACTGGGCGTTGTTCTCGATTTTGATTTGGCATAGGAGAAGAAAAAACTTTGGGTTTCTTTCGATTTCATTTATAGCTTTTAGTTCTTCCCGCGATTCCTGACTCCTAAAGGATTCTTTTAGCTTAAGTTCGATGCTTGCTATTTCTCTGACCAGTGTCTCCCTGCGCATTTCAGATATATTGACCTCTTTTAGCCGCTCTGTTATTCTTTTCCGTCGCCTGTAAAGGGCGCGCCTGTCTCTTTCTATTTTACATCTACTCCTCCTTTTTCTTAGAGGAATAAGCCTTGTGCATACATCGAGTGCCACCGAGTTAATCTGTTCTAGGCATAAGTTTGGGTCTGTGTTGCTTAGTATATCTTCCCAGCTTATATCGGTTAGGACTTGGTTTACTTGGTCCCCCTTTATGTTTTTGTTATTGAAGTTGAATTTGGTGAATGCTCCCTCGTGACTAGTCTCATTTTGTCGGTCTGGGGCTCCACGCATACATGTCTGAACCTCAATTATGTTGTGATCTGAGTATATTGTTTTTGATATGGTGACATTTCTTATCAGTCATCATTGTTAGTGAATATGAGGTCTAGTGTATTCTCCAGTCTAGTAGGCTCTATTTTTTTGCTGGTTTAATTGAATTTTGTGGAGAGATTTAAAAGCTCGTGTGAGTGTGAGTTTTCATCAGAGCTGCCTCCTGGTGTTATTACTGCAACAATATTATTTGCTATATTCCTCCATTTTAGGTGCCTTAAGTTGAAATCCCCCAGGAGCAAGATGTGGGTGCAGGAGCTGGAAGATTTTTCCAGACAGGGGGTCAATTTTTAAACAGCTGTTTCCCGGAATTGCTGGGATGTTGCATCCGGAGGCTTGTAGACTACCACAAGAC